TGACCGACCAGCTATAAATCAGAGGTTCCCAGGACCCTCTCCTCAGGTTCAATTAATTTGCTAGAGCGGCTCACAGAACTCAGAGACACAGTTTACTTACTAGATCACCAGTTTGTTATAAAAGAAAATGACTCAGCCAGATGGAAGATGCATAGCGCGAGGTATGTGGAAAGGGCAGAGCTCTCATGCCCTTTCCAGTGCACCACTCTCCCCATATCTCCATATGTTCACCAACCTGGAAGCTCTCTAAACCCTGTCATTTGGGTTTTATAATTGATTGAATCATTAATTCAACTTCTAGGCCCTCTCCCCCGAGGTTGGGTAGTAGGGGGTAATTGGAACTGAAAGGTTCTAACCCTCTAATCACAAGGTTGTTTCTCCTGGCAGCCAGCCCCCATCATTAGGTGATCTCCAAAAGCCAATTCATTCATCTCACAAGAGACACGTTTGTTGCTCTAATAAGAAAATTCCAAGGGTTTTAAGAGCTCTGTGCCAGAAATGGGGATGAAGACCACATGTACATTTATACATAAAGCACACTATCACACGTCGATTCCAAAATATTTTTCAGTATTCTCGTCTCCCTATGGATGTCGAATCCACTGGGGTAGCCTTCAGCTCTGTGTTCATTAATGGGCTAAACCAGGACTTTCTTGGTTAAGAGAACTAGAAGAGAGTGGGAAACTATGTCCTCTCCAGACTTAATTTGGCAAACCTGCACCCTAGATGATTCTACTAAGAAAAAAACCATCAAAATCCTCAATGTCCAAATTCAACAGATGGAGTTCCCTAAGCAAAGTCCTCCCAGCCTCCGTCATTACTGTAAGAAGCCAGGAAATTGGAAGAAAGACTTCTAGAAACCAAAGCGCTCCAGGCATCTTCAGTCAACTCATCTTTCCAATGTCCTCCCACTTCCCAGTGATGGGACTCCAAGGAATCTGGAGCTTTTCCAAGCCTCCCTCTTAATCAGCTCAGAGAAACAACTCCCCAGACTGGGAATGAATTTCTATACTGGAGTTACACTCTCAGTGCTCAAGCCCATTACTACTGAACAGCCCGTGCCTCGGAGCACAATTCCAATAGTGGAGGTCTCCAATAAATCTTAGCAAGTCATGAAAAAAGATATGAATCCACTGGACTTAGTGCTCTTCCAAAAGGAGTGAACATATGCCCTTACACCAGACTGGTGGTAATAAAGTGAGAGGGCTGGTTGACATTGCTGTTTAAAGTGTTGCATATTGTGAATTTTAATACCAGTGTGCAGGCTTCAATGTTGCTTTTCCAAGTAATGAATTCTCAGCAGACGATATCAATTTTTTAAAAAATTTTTAAATTTGTTTTATTTTTGGCTGCATTGGGTCTTCATTGCTGCGCATGGGCTTTCTCTGGTTGCGGCGAGCAGGGGCTACTCTTCGTTGTGGTGCAAGGGCTTCTCACTGCAGTGGCTTCTCTTGTTGCAGAGCACAGGCTCTATCTAGGCTTATGGGCTTCAGTAGTTGCAGCACACAGGTTCAGTAGTTGTGGCTCGTAGGCTCTAGAGTGCAGGCTCAGTAGTTATGGTGCACAGGCTTAGTTGCTCTGCGGCATGTGTGATCTTCCCGGACCAGGGCTCGAACCTGCATCCTCTGCATTGGCAGGCGGATTCTTAACCACTGCGCCACCAGGGAAGCCCGATGATATCAAATATCATGCAGCATTTTGTGGGAAGCTGTTGGATCCAGGGTTGGTGTCACATTCCCAAATTATAATCCAGAAAAACTGTCCACACTGCTCCCTCCCAGGTGCTCCAAATTGCCTGATGGACCATGCGAGGTTTGGCAAGTGGGTTTCACAGAGCTGCCCACCATCTCATGGGTATAAATAATTCCTGGTAATGATGTGCATGTTTCCTCAGTGGACTGAAGCTTTTCCACGTAGACAAGCCACTGCCGCCTCTGTGACTAAGATCCCATTGGAGAGGAACGCTTCTTGAACTTCATAGTGATTGGGGAACCCACGTTATTGGTCAAGTGCTACGAGTCTGTGCCATTTGGCCAGTTCTCAACAAAACCCCCCTGGGTCGGAGTAAGCGCCAATGAGAACGTGACCGGAAATCTCCCCCTAATATCAGGAGAGCTGGCTGATTCTGCAGCCCAACAATTATCACTTGACTCACTGGCTAAAATACTTTTAGACAACCACATAGCCTTCGATTTCCTACTTGCTGAACAAGGAGGCATTTGTACGATTGCAAATACTACCTGGATAAACTCTTTTGGAGAAGTAGAAATTCAATTACACAAAATGAGGACACAAGCCCAAATTTCACCTGATTCTCTCTGGTCCTTTGATTTGTTCAGCTGGCTACCTTCAGGTCTAGGGTAATAGTTTAGAACCATCATACAAACTAAATGTCGTATTATTTTTCATTCTGCTTTGCATATTTTTTATGGTTTTGTTTCGTTTTTGTTTTTGTTTTGGCCACACCTCGTGGCTTTTGGGGTCTTAGTTCCCCAACCAGGGATTGAACCTGGGCCTTTGGCAGTGAAAGCACAGAGCCCTAACCACTGGACCACCAGGGAATTCCCCATTTTTAAACTTTGTACATGTTGCCTGTCAACCCCCTGTAGAAATGACACAATGAATAGTATGATGTTGGCTCAATGCCTTGAGATGACTGCCGATGCCTGTACCTTCATAAGACACGATTTTAAGAGTGAAAATGGCTGAGAGTTCCTCCTTCTTTCTTTGTTACTCAAATGTGGGCTCACTTGGTTTCAATCACTATGCACTTTTCCTCTGATGTGAGACATGACGTCCAGGAAAGGTCCTGGTGCTGAGGGACAAAACACAATTCCACTAAAACTGATCAGTGATGCTCTCAAGGAAAGATCTTCATCTAAAGGGGGGAATGTGGAAATGAGCAAAGGAAAGCTCAATCAGAATGGGGTGGGGAAGATATGATGGGAGGGCTCTCAAGCATGCATCTCTCACCACAGCTCACAGACCCAGCAGGAAGGAAGGTCTCTGTCTGGCCCAGTGACAAGCTACCCACTGATTGCAGCCAATGGAAAACCACCAGGGTCCTCCTAATTTCCTCCTAAAACCTAATAAAAGCTGACCTTCCCTTTGTCTCCTCTAACTTGCCAGTTTGCTTGTCCTGAACTGAAATTCTTCTGATTCCAAATAAACTCATTTTGGCTAAAGACCTTATGCCATTCTTAAGGTCAACACCTTTAACCCGAGCTGAGTGCCTTGATGGCTGATCCTATCTGGGTTCTGTCTCTAGGGATGACCCAAGTGTGGGCTCCATTTCTGAGGGGTGATACCCAGCTTGTGGGTCCATCTCTGAGGGGTGACCTCTGGCCTAGTCACCATCTCTGATGGGTGAGGTTGGGCCTGGTGACATCTCTGATGGTAAAGCCAGCCTGAGCTAAGTTGACCAGTTTTAGGGGCACTCTGGCAAGGGCCTGAGGGAATGTAATTTTCACATTTCATGTGACCAAAGGCAAACTTCCCTCACCACGACCTGTTTCCTCATTGCCACATTCATACTGTACTTGCACTGTATCCAAGAAACACCGGTGTTTCTCAGCGACCCCACCTCACCCCTTGCTCTTGCTGCCCTGCCTGTCTCGGGACCCTATTGTCAGAAGGATGCCAACACTGAACCAGAGATGTGCTGCCTGCCCCAACTGCCATGTGATGGGGGCAAGTCCTGGCTACTGCATGGCAACCAGTGCCTGGTCATCCCACGCAAGGGCCGGGGCCACCTGCCATGCACCCCTGAAAGAGTGACAGCCCTGATTCCAGGTAGAGCTTCCACAACTTAAATTTTTTAATTCAAATATAAACTTCGCAACAGGAGAGGCCACAACAGTGAGAGGCCTGCGTACCGCAAAAAAACAAAACAAAACAAAAAAATAAACTTCATTACATAAAATGCAAACTTGAGGAAAAGCAAAACAGATTCCACAGAACTCCACACTCATTCTCTAGGATTGCCAGTGCTGAGGCCTGGCGCTGACTGAGCTGTCCAGGCCATCTTTGTCGGCTGGAGAAGCCCAAGCTGGAGAGAGTGAGGGAGCCCGGCAGCTGCCCTTCTCCAACGGGGCCGTGAGTGGCCTGCCCCTGCCCTTCCATGTTCAATTGCTAAGTCTGTAAGTCCCATCCCCATTCTCTCACTTGTATCCCACATCTGAGCAGGATGATAAACCCAGGTGCTCCCTCCTTTGGCACCTGTGGGAGATTCAAATCTTGCCGGGCCCTGCCCTTGGCAGGAACTCACACGGCCCCTCTGACCACAAGAAAAGTCCTGGGCTGGGCTCCTGTCCTTGCTGTCAAGCCACTCTAGACCTGCTGGAGAGCCCTGCCCTGTCCTCCCCAGAGACCTCGATGACATAAGGACCCAGCCTCCCCAAACCTCGATGTGGGTGGCTCAGTCTCCACACCCAAATATGAGCTGGGGTGGCTCCACCTGCCCTGCGAGGACTGTGACAGCAGTGCCGTGAGCTGGTCTAGGTGGCCTAGATGCTGACCCCCGCCCTTTCCCCACACCAACCTGCTGCCTGGCTCTCGCTCTAGCTGTACTGCTCTGTCGAATCCAGCAGAGCCTCGCTTATTGATTTAGTTAACCTAAATCGGCAGTGTCTACAACTAACTGGTATTTAGGGACAGGATTATGGGATTGGCCCTCTGTAAAGTGGCCCTAGGTTGTGTCTCAGCCTGGACCTCTGTTTCAGAACAAAGCTGTATGTGACGCTAGGCTCAAGGGAATGATGCTGACTGCATCTCACCCAGGCAATGGCCCCATCTCTGGGGGCTCAGGAGACAGACGACAACCTGTGTGAGACATGGGGCCGGCGGGTGGTCACTGACGAAACAGCAGTCTTTAGGGAGAAAAAACAGGAGCCCTCTCCCCCACTTGAGCCCCAGGATGCGTGCCAGGGAGAGGACTCTTGACTGCAGGCCATCTGCCCATCTACCCCCAACCCAGGTGCAGCGTCTCTGGTCCCTCACCATCACAGCTGCGTCTTTGGCTTCTTCCCAGAACGGAGGTGGGGTGGCTGTGGTGACTGAGCCCCCTGCCGCTGCTGCTGCAGTTTCTTTAGCGCCCTATAGGCGTTCACCGCCCGCTCTCTCTCCTCCGCCACGATCCGCTGTCTGGCCAGAGAGGTGGTCAGAGGCTGGGACACACCGCCAGGGCTTAAAAGCATCTTCAGCATCAGCGATTTCTTGCCAGGCTGACGAAGAGAGAGGGAGGTTGAGGCACAGATTCTGGAAGGAGGGGAGGTAACAAAGAACCTAGGTGAGCCCAATAGCTTAATCCCAGTGAGAACATGGTGCTCTCCACCTGTGTGCCCTGAACCAGGCAGCACCAAGGGGCAAAAAGGGCAACTCCCCCACCCCTGCTTACCTGGTCCCTACTTGTGCTCATCCTGGGCTTGGCAGTCAGCTCTGGGGGCTGCAGGGCAACCTCACCAAACTTCACTGTGTCTGGAGGGGCAGAGAAGAACTGAGGTCTGCTGCCCACACAACCACTGCAGCCCTGGCACCCAGAGCCACTGTCCACCCACCCACCGACCCTGGGGAGACAAAGCTGCCCCGAACCAGGGCTGCTTTGTGAAGAGCTACCTCGGAGCAGCTCCTGCTCCAGCCTTTCTGCTGTCTTTTCCTCCCTCCTCTGCTGGACCTTAACCAGCCGTCGCTTCTGGAACCTGGGAAGAGAGCACAGTGCTGTTCATTTTCCTAAACTCTCATTTCACTGGACTCAGGAAGAGGCAGAGGTCACCCCTGCCCACGCGGGATGCATCATGAAAGACCCCAGGTGGCTGCCTCTGAACCCCAGGACCCACAGAGAGCGCTCCGAACCTAGGAGGCCCCTCCAAAGTTCCAAGTCAGGGGTCCTCAGCGGCTGCGGCTGTACCTCTACAGCCCATCGGACAATATCGGGAGATGTTCTGTGTTGTCACAACGTCGCGGGGAGAGGGGTGCTCCTGGCACCTCATGGGTGGAGGCCAGGAATGCTGCTCAACGCCCTACAGTGCACGGAATGGCCCCCACCCCAGAGAATCAGCTGTCCCAAGTGTCAACTGTGCTGCTGTGTGTAAACGGCCCCGCACAGCAGGTGTGACATGGTCCCTTATTGTTACTAGAATCAACGTTCAATGACAGTTTTAGAGATCACTGTGGCTTTAGGTGGTACCTGGGATATGTCTTGTGTGATGTAATTTTCACTGGCTAACGTAAGTACACGTATGATAAGAATCTGGACATAGGGAAACTCTACAAAGCTGAAAACAATCTAACTTTCACAGCTTTTAAAAGAATTTCTTTTTTTTTTTTTAACTTAGGCCACACCGCATAGCATGCGGGATCTTAGTGCCCCAACCAGTGATCGAATCCGCGCCCCCTGAAGCGGAAACTTGGAGTCTTAGCCCCTGGACCACCAAGGAAGTGCCCAGTTTTAGAGAAATTTCTGATGAAAGCCTGGCTTGATTCATGACAAAAGTTGCAGTAAAGGCAGAAACACATCTCAAAAAGCATTTGTTTGCTGAAACCACTGCCCCAGCTCCCACCCACAGGCTCAGGGAGGTGGCACACAGCTTGCATCCCAGACTTCTCCAGGGCTGAGCATAGGGATGGGCAGGGGAGCTGCAGCTGGCAGTGGACTTCCTCCTGGTGCCAATTTCACCACTTTACCCACCAGGAAGCTGAGTCTGAGAGGTCACAGAACTTGTACAAATGACATAGCTACAGGCTCTCAAATCTCTTTTAGGCTGGAAAGGTGAACCCTGGAAACCAGTTTCCGTGGGGCAGGCACAGTCCCCTGACGGCCTGCAGGCCCTCCTGGGAGGACACTGAGCCTCACTGTTTTTCTACTTCCCTGAAACAACTGGCCCGGGGTGGACAGCTGGCCCTCAACCTCCCCTGGCTCTTGGACACCTTGATGCTTTCCAAAGAGAGGCACAGACAGAGCTAGGCCTTCAGAGCTCTGTGGGTTCAGAGCCTCCTAGAAGTACTGAGGTTAGGTGGCTGTGGTACAGAGAAAAATACCCACTGACTCCAGGTCCTGCTCGGCCTGAATCATGGGGTAGGTGGGGTGCCCCTCGGCAACAAGATGCTGTCAATGCAGAAGAAATCGGTGGGACCCCACAGCCCTGCCTCCCAGCCCCTGCAGCCCCCACTCACGCTTTCTTCCTCTCCGACTTCCCCTTCTTGGGAGCCGCCTGCACCTCAGGCTGCCGGCCAGCCTGGTTCTTGCTGAGGAACAGCACGTGCTGCGCCTCCTGCGCCATGCGCTGCATATAGGCCCTGTCAGACTCCCACTTCTTCTGCTCGAACTTGGGTACAGCGATGTCCGGCTCCACTCCCTTTGCTTCCTTCTCCAATGTCTTACTGAAGGCCACCTGGGCTGAGGACAAAGGGAGACCTCAGAGGGGAAAGTCGTGAAGCGAAGGCAGGAGGGAGCAGGTGGCGCTGGGCTGGCCGCCCATGTTCATCTCCCCTCCCCAGGCCACGGGAAGGGAAGACCAGGCTCACGTAGGAGCTAAACAGGATCTAAGATGCCAGCTGGGGGGAACCTGGGGTGGGACCCCCGCAGCCCACTGGTACACGTCAAAGATGTCCTCTGCAGCTCGGTTGAAAAAGGAAACAGGAAACAACTTAAGTATCCGTCACTAGCTGACTGGCAGAATGAATCCCCCTATGTTCATCCAGAGACGTCACTGCACAGCTGCTGAGAGCTCGGCAGAGCTACAATAAGGACGTGGAAAGACCTACAAAATCCACTGGTAGCGAAAACCCAGGACACCAAACGATATAGAGAATGAAGGTACAGCTTTTACCTCACAAATATGTGAAAATATGCATATTTCCCCTGGGAGGGTAAACAAGACGGACAGACAACAGTTTCTTTTAGGGGGAGAGAGCAGGATTCAAAGACAGGGAAGGAGGCCACGCCTCACCTCGTATCTTTCAGTAGTTTGATTTCACCACATGTGTAAGTTTATGTCTTTTAAATAACTTAAACCCCAAAAAGAGCTGTTTCAGTAGAGCATGGTTCAGAATGTGCCATCTTCCATCTGGGCCAGTGCCCTCCTCTACCCCTCCCCCTCCTCAACTCTTTATTTCACTATCGCTTTGGTAGTCATCTAACCCTCAATGAAAAGCCTAAGGTTGACAAAGAAATTACAAAACAGCATCGCTGCAAAATCAGTCCCATGTTTGGGAAAACAAATACCTGTACGTGTACACAAAACACAAACACCGTGGACCCCATTCCCCGGCATCTGGAATGTTATCTCTGGCAGAGGCTGACAGCTGGGCACCCTACCTGGCCTTGGGGGAAGGGTGGGAGGGATGAGTTTCTCAGGGGGTCTGATCAATTCCCTCCGTAACCTCTAGAAACCATACACTTCTCTCCACCATGATTTCTGCACTCAGGTCCAAGGAACCATCATCGTTTCTTATTTGCAAGAGCCTCGCTGGCCTGCAGTGTCCTCTCGCCCCTCGACTGTTACACAGTGACCTTTCCTTCAAGTAAATCTGAACTGACCGTCCCCTCTGATGGATCTCCACTACTCCTGGGAGGGGAAAATCAACACTTCCACCTTGGCCCATGAGGCCCCAGGGGCTCCTTTTGGAGCCTCACCTGAAACCACACCGCCACCTGCTGTCAGCCACCACTCTGGCCCTGGTGACACCAGCCTTTGGTCAGTCCTCCACATGCTCCTGCACCGCCTGACTGCTGGGGTCTGGCAGATTTCTTCTGCCTGAAACGCCACTGAATACTTGTGCAATTAAGTAGATTCAAACACGCAACGCTTTATGACCACCCAGCATGGGTCTGCAGTTACCCTCTTTCTTCCTCTTCTTGTTACTGATGGGGTTTTTCATCTCCTGACGGCTCCTCATGATCTCTCGGAGCCGGAAAGGGATTTCCTGTTCATCTTGGTTCTTAGGCTTGCAATTCACTTTCTTCTTTTCTTTGCTGGGAAGGAGAACACGGGGGTGAGACACGTCTCCAATCGAGCATAAGCAGAATCAGAGAAACCGAAGCTGAGCCTGGAGGAAGAAACTTCGCAGGCCACCCTGGTCGCTGTAGTGCATGCCGGTCAAGCGAACACGGCCTCATCCTCGCCCGCCCGGAGGCTGTCCCTGGACCGGTTTCTCACAGGACGCTGGGTGGGGGGCGCTCCAAGAGCCCCAGGGAGGCCCGTCACTCCCTGACCTCGTCCAGGATAGCAAAGACGGCGCCCCGGAAGGTGACAAGTGCCACACCGGAGACTCCCTCATGCCTCCGCCCACCCGGCTGACCCTCCGGGCCGCCCACCGCACGGACCACACAGCGCGCTGGGCCCGGCGCGGGGAGGGTGCCGGGGAGTCTTAAGGACGATGAGACCGGCACCCACCTGCGCGGCCCCGACCGTGGCGCAGAGCGCTGCTTCCCCGGCTCCTGCTGCCTCCGGCCCTGCGGTCGCCCTGGGCTCCCTAGCCCAGCCGTCCCCGCCGGCGCCGCAGCACGGCGCCGGCCTCCCGCCATCTGCACGCCCTGCGCTCAAAGGAGAAATCACTTCCGCACTCCCGCACGGTCCAGCCCCAGGCCCGCCATTTCCGCTTCCTGCGCTCACTGGGGCTGTGCAGCTCCCTGACGGGCCGGGATTGGCCAGAGCGGCTGCCATTCACAGCTCGGGCGGGGCCGAGTGGGGGGCGCCTGCGCCGTGGGCCAGGCTGTGGGCGATGCTGCTGTGGAGTGCGGCCCGGGGAGGCCTGGTGGTGTCGGTTGCTGCCCGTGGCCTGGCAAGTACCGGCGGAGACGGGGACGGGGTGCGTTCGGGAGGCCGGGCCCCGCTGGGGCCGAGAAGCCCCGCTCTCCCGGCAGCCAGGCAGAGCCTAGGGTAGCGCCGGCGGGTTCTGAGCTCGTTCCCTCGTCCAGTACCTGTTGAACACCTGCTTTGTGCGAAGCCTTTGGGGAAACCTCAGTGAACAAGGAGTTGGCGCCCCTCGCAAGAGGAGTTAGAGAAATACGTAAAGTTTGCGCCTGTGTTCAGTGCCCTGGAGACAGAGCAGGGAAGGGGACCCGGGGGCCGGGGTGGGGGCTGGAGGTGGGGAGAGGGCTGCCCACTGGCCTTTGGGAATGACTTGGGCTTCTCATGTGACAGAGAGAAACTGGGATGAAGGGGTGATGCGATTAGTCAGAATGTTCACGGGGGAGGGACGTGGCAGTACTGGTTGGAGAGGGAGAGGTGGCTGTGTGGGCTGGAGCTCACAGGCTTCCGCCCCCGCCATACTCCTGTCCACCGGGCAGGGCCATCTTAGCTGGAGGTGCAGTCTCAACACCCACCATCTGCTGCAGGGCATGCCTAGTGCGAGGCCTTGAACCCAGCATTTCTCATGAACCTGTGGCTCATCCCCGTACCAAGCGTTACATCCATTTTACAAATGGGAAACTGTGTCTATAGGTGAAGTAACTTGTCTAAGGTTACGCAGGAAGTGAGGAAACGGAGAAACACGTGGAGCCCCCTGCCAGTGACAGGAGGCCGAAATTTCCCCCGCGCTGGAGGCAGGCAGAGCCTTACCAGCTTCCTGGAGACTCATGTGCTTATCTGAATCTTTAGGGGCCATTATCCAGCTGGGACTGGGGCCAAAGGCTTCCTGGAGGTGGCAGCATTCTTCACAGGATCCGAGTCCGTGAAGGCCACAGAGAGTTCAGGAAGGACCATGTGGAGGTGGGCTCCCAAGCAGGTGCAGCGGGCACTGGGCAGCCCGAGTCCTCCCTGCCTGGTGGGGTCCCCTCAGAACCCCTGTACCCGCCACCCCCTGAGCTCCAGCCCCCCACCAACTGCTGCATGAGCGGCTGCCCCAACTGCGTGTGGGTGGAATACGCAGACGCACTGCTGCAGCACTACCAGGACGGCGGGGAGCGGGCCTTGGCCGCCCTGGAGGAGCACGTGGCTGATGAGAACCTCAAGGCCTTTCTCCGGCTGGAGATCCAGCTCCGTGTGAGGAGTGGAAGCTGAGCCGCCTGGCCAGACAGCCTCACCCCGACAGACTCCTCAGGATGCAGCACAGCCTTCTTTATCCACGGCCCCTTTGTGCAGCTGGTGTCGACGGGAACAGGAAGAGTTGTTTATTGACTTTGCCGGAGAATAAATAAGCTCTGTGTGGTGGTTAGACAGGAGGCTTTTGTGTTGTCATCCATAGGCGTGTATCACCTCAAGGAAAGCACGTGCAGATGTCATTGTATGTCCACTGGGCACCTACAGCCTTCACCAACCTGTGAGGTTGGCTAAACCTGTTTCCTTGACTATTCAAGTGACAGTGACCCCAGGGGCCCCCTTCTATGTCCCAGCATCCCAGAAGTCCCAAAGGTCAGCTCTGGTTACTCTCAGTGGTGCAGCAGAGGGAGGACCATCCGGTCCTGAGAGGTTGCTGTTAGCAAAGCTCTGGCAGGCACAATGCCCGCAGGTGGCCTGGAATGTGCCCCATTCATCCAGCTGCAGGCTTTCAAACTCTGATACCAGTGGCCTGGATGGACAGGGTTAAATAAATTTATGCCTGTTTTATCGTCTCTCATTTAAGGGAAAAGCTTGGGTTGTTATAAGGCTTCACAAAGAATTTGAGCTGATAAGCAGGCCTTCCCGGGTAGGGGCCTTCCATGTAAAGCCAGAGTTTCCCACACAGACAGATCTGTGGACAAGAGAATGAAACCACACAGCCACAAAACGTGCTGCCATGCTAATGGCTGGGGATACACCTGGTAGTGCGGGCTGTCTTGGCCAGCTAGTGATGTCATCCAGAAGCAGTTTTGGTTGGTTCAGAGAAACATGATTATAGCAATACATGTTTGTTACACTTTATGTCAGAGAGCATCTACTCCAACCCTGTCCTACAGATTTGAAAATGGCCTAGGAAGAGAAAGATTTCCCTAGAGACAAAAGCACAGCAGAGCCTAGTGGGCTTGGGGCCCCCAAAGGGGTCTATAACATGGAGGTGGATTACCTCAGAGATGTAGGAAGAGGTTTACTGTATTTTTCTCAAAAACATTTGTGAAAGATTTTCGATGTGTGTATGATACTGGGGCAGATCTTTGAAGTCCCAGGAGGAGGGAACTAGGGGAAGGGGAGAGATGTACAATAAAAAATGCACCACATGGCGTGAGCAGCAGGTGCAAAGGCCCTGGGGTGGAAGAGGCTCCTTGGAGCACAGAGAGCAAGAGGAAGGGATGAGAGGTGAGGCCAAAGAAGTGGATCGGGACAGGCTATACAGGACTTTGGGGGCCACAAAGGCGGGTTCCTCAGCAGTCAGGATAGTAAGGGTGGGGAGGCCTAAGACAGCAGTCAGTGCCGTCTCATCCTTGCTTCAGAAATGAGCAGCTTTGGGCTTCCCCGGTGGCGCAGTGGTTGAGAGTCCACCTGCTGATGCAGGGGACACGGGTTTGTGCCCCGGACCGGGAAGATCCCACATGCCGTAGAGCGGCTGGGCCCGTGAGCCATGGCCGCTGAGCCTGCGCGTCCGGAGCCTGTGCTCCACAGTGGGAGAGGCCACAACAGTGACAGGCCCCCCTTCCCCAAAAAAAAAAAAAAAAAAAAATGAGCAGCTTCAGGAGAGTCTGGCTGTTCATGGTCACACGTCCTGTTCCTGCCTTGACCCTGCCCCCGGCTCGTCCTTCAGGCCCTTGACCGCACCTGAGCCCCTTCCCCCATCTCGGGGAATCCTCGGTGCTGCTACCCACCCCACAATCTCATTAGTGTAGTGTCAAGGCACAGTCCTAATCAGATTACCCAGCTGCAGGATAAATGCCCAGCCAGCACCCTGCCTAACGGAGGCCTGCCACTCACACCCATGGTCCCCTGAGACCTGCCCCAGTACTTGGTGAGTAATGACCTTCCCAGGTTGCTTTTCCTGGTGGCCACTTACCCAAGGGCGTTAGTGGGTATCTGCCCAGAGGGTGAGGAGTGGGCGGGATTTTCACCACCATCCTGAGGTCTGGGTCTGGGGGAGGCCACCTACTGCCCTGTTCAGAGAGGACACCCAGCCCATCACCTCCTCTCTTCCTCGTGCCAAATAGTGGTGCAGGCTGTCCCCCAGGCTAGCAATGGTCTCGGAGCCTCAGGCCACACACAGTCAGCCAACCTGAGTGGGCACCAGCCACAAGCCAGGCTAGGGCCAGGGCAAATTGGGCAGCGGTTTCCATGGGGACAGCATCTGATAGTTGGCTCTCTATCAGGGCTCAGAGCTGCCCACGCCAGGCCAGTGGCCTGGGACTAGAGAAGGGGTCCAGCTGGGCCTATACTACCTAGGCTCTGAGGAGTGGGTGTCATGGGGTTTGAACAGCCGGGGCCACCAGACCTGCTGCTGTCCAGCTTGGACCCCGTGTAGATCCAGCTCCTGTCCCCTGGTTCCTCTCAGGCTGCTGCTGGTCCTGGCACAGAGACCGAACCTTAGGGAAGGAAGGTCCACAGTGGGGTCCACTGAATCCCAGGTGCCCCGGCACCTACAACCAGGCCTTCCTCGCTGGTAGAACCACCTGTTCTTGCCTCCAGGTTGATCTCAGCCCTAATACTCTAGCAGCAGCTAGCGGTGGCCCCAGGCTGGACTCAGGCATTGCAGCCCACAAGTGGGGAGGGGGGCAAGAAACAGGACCCAAGAAGTGGTGCCTGAGGCATCCAGTGCCAGGGCAGCGGCTCCTCTCTGCATCATGTACTTAGCCCCAGAACTTTCTGGGCTTATAGTGGACCCTGAGGAATTAGGGTCTCCCTCTGGTGCTAATAGGCTTAGAGGAAGGTGAGCTGCCCCTGGCCTAGGTCACCAGGGCTTAGGGCCTCGAGGCGGGGACTCCGGGGGAGAGGAGGAGGGGAGGTCACCCTGTGCAGTGGGTTCAAGGACACCAGCAGGTGATGCTGGTGCCCAGTGAGTGGCGGGGGCAGGGGGGGGGGTGGGACGGGGGAGTTAGGGTATTTACCAGCAGAGGGAAGACGCTGCTGGGGCCAGGGCTACACAGCTTGCCTGGGTGTTTCATTGTGACACAGGCCCCTCCCCTGCCCGGGCACCCTGCCCTCCCATTTCTCGGGTTACCGTTATTGGCACCGCTAGGTGCCTAACATGCCACTATGAATGAGGCCAAGTGTCCCACCCCAGGGATTGGGATGGGGAATGCAGGAGAAGGGGGAGGCAGTGAGGAGGGGCACACCAGGGGGCCACCCAGCACTCTCACCCCCTGGCTGGGGCTCCCTGGGACAGGGGGCTGCTGTTTGAGTCATACTGGTGACCGGTGGGTCTCATGTTTCAGGGTTTCCTCTGCTCTGGTGGGTTGAGACCTGAGAGGTGGGTCGGAAGCAAGAGGGCCCACAGCGTGAGGGAGTCCAGAAGCCGAAGGTCACCGCGGGGTCTCTGCCAGCCTGGCCATGAACCTGGAGCCGCCCAAGGCTGAGATCCGGCCGGCCACCAGGGTGATTGGGGGGCCCGTCACTCCCAGGAAAGGGCCCCCCAAATTTAAGCAGCGGCAAACCAGGCAGTTCAAGAGCAAGCCCCCCAAGAAAGGCGTCCAAGGGTGAGCAGAGCCGTGGGAGGGCTGGCCCTGAGGGGGGTGGAGGGCCCACCTGCTGCACAGGAGGGAGATGGGGCCTTTCTGGTGCTAGAGGCCGTGGCAGGGGCCTTCAGGTTGGGGGGTTGGGTGGGGCCTCAGCCACCCTTTCCTGGTGGAAGGTAGTCCCATCCTCTTAAGCAGGTGGTGCGGGTCTTGAGGGCCTGAACCGGCCTGTCTCAGGGTCCCCCATTCCCTGGCATGGGGGGCGGGGGGTGGAGGGGACTCGGGGGGCAGGGGCTCCTGTCACCCTCTCTAGCTGTTCTTGTCTGGAAAGCACACCCACCCGTGGCCACCCAGACACTCAGCCACAGCCCCACCAACGGATATGTCTCCCTGCACCAAAAGAGCCCCACGTGTACACACCCAGGACACACTCAGACACACCGCATTCCCAGGAACCTGCACTCAAGTGTATGCACACCCCCTCTCC